TAACCTCTGCCTCTCGGGTTCAAGTGATTCTCCTGCTCAGCCTACTGAATAACTGGGATTACAGGCACCCGCCACCACACCTGGCTAATTTTTGTATTTTTAGTAGAGATGGGGTTTCACCATGTTGCCCAGGCTTGTCTCGAACTCCTGACCTCAGACGATCTGCTGGCCTCGGCTTCCCAAAAGTGCTGGGATCACAGGCATGAGCCACCGTGCCTGGCCTCAAGTTCAAATCTTGAATTAGAAAGACATTTGATTGTTGGAAGACTGATACCTTTCTGATTACTCATTTTATAGACAGAATGCTGCTTTTGTGATTCCAGGAGCTTATTGTTAACAGGATAGCTAGCAGAATAGCAGTCATGGGGTGGAGGAAGGAGAGGGTTTTACTTTTTATTGTTTAGGCTTGACAGATAATGTTCCCGCTGCCACCTATGTTACTTTTTTTCAGCTTTTATAAAATGAGAGACTTCTACTTCCATGCAAGCAAGCCACTCCAGGCCTATTGGATGTGCCTCTAATGATTTCAAATGAATAGGATAATATTTACTTGTTTAATTCATCTTCATCACCTTAAAGGGATATTTATCATTTCTAGCAGAGGTCACCGCTCTACCCCCCTTCTTCCCCCTCCCCCATCTCTCTTCTGCTTTTCTAAATTGTAATCATAAATAATGAGTTTCATTCACAGCTCCCTGCCAGCGAGCTGCTAATTACACAAAGTACTGCTTGTAATTTACACAGTAATAAACTGTAAATTTAAACATTACGGCACTTTAAGTTAATAATTTTTCTGCTGTAACAAATAGCTCATTTTTCACCCATCTTTTCCCTTGGCCCCCCTACCACATCCGTGTCTGTGATCAGTAGGCATAGCCATAAGGGATGCAGAATATGAAGAATACAGTATATGAAAACTTCTCATTTAACTCCACTCCTGCCCAGACTCTGGCCTCGAATTCATTTTTCTATAGCCAGTTGTTCTGCTGAAATGTGTAGCCTGATGTTTAGGACAGTCCACACATATAGATAAATACAGATAATAACATTTGTCCCGACGCAAATGTGTTTGAAGAACAGCCTTGACGTTCTTGACATTCTTGCCTGTGACTTGTGTTCTCTCAACACAACAGTTACTGAGATGTGTGTTGGTATGCCTTCCCAGGTGCCATGGTAGATAAGCACTGTGAATGTACTCAAGTTAAATGAAGAGGGAATGGCCATTTTCCAATTTTTTGGAAATGATTGGTTTCTGAATTGTTTGTGGTGTTATGGGTAAGCTTTTACACTATAATGAGAACCCTGAATTTAGGAATCAAATTTTATACAAACTTCTATTTTTATTTCATAAGATGACATTTGAGGGACAAAGTACAGAGTAACAATTTTTGCAAGTCACAGAAGTCCTCTGATGTATTTATATTTAGTCAGCAGATATTTACGTTTTACCAGTGAGGATTTGGTTATGTCCCAGGATGAAGACTATTGGAACTATAATCACATAGCTCTAGGGAGCTTGGTGTGCTGGCCTGTTAAAAATTGGCTACTGTTGTATTTTCTAAAACAGTATTTTTACTCCTGTATACTTCAGTAGTTCCAGGAGGTGTATTACTTACTATATTAAAACACCAAATATGGTGAATGGTGTTTATAAAAACTTCTGGATCACTAGAGAATAATAAATTAGAATAACATGTAATACTTTTAAGATAGATTCCAATAAAAAGAAACATAGTTGCTGTTTTAAGATTCACTTTTGACATGTGCCTTTTCAGATTGCCTTGGTTGGCACAGTTATGGGAAAGATTGAGCTAGGTGACATATTGTGCTTTATGTTTGTTTCTGTGGTTGAATGTTACTCTTGTCTGCTTTTGTCTTTTTAGGAGACCAGCATAAACACTTTGGGTACTGAGAGGATAAACCATATCACTAGTGACCCTCGGCAGAAAGAGTAAGTGTTTATGTATTTACTGGCTGTCCTAGTTTCTCCTTAGAGGAGGAGGTAGAGGGGAGTCTTATGGAGCAACTTAGAAACCAGGTTTCAGAGCTAAAAGAGATCTTAAAGATTTGTACTTTATAACAGTTAAAGATGGCAACATCCTAAACCAGTGACCGTGATATTCTTTTCTTTCCTAGACTAGTTTCATTGTATTGTTTTTTTATACCTACAGATGCTGCATTTAGTAGCCTCCAGTAAGGATGTTTATTTTAGACTAATTTCTCTGTCTCTAAATTTTTTTTCTGAAATGCATGATTGCCTCTATCCTCCTATATTCTCTTCCCATTTTTAGACCTTTTTATAGGGAAATATTTTTTCTTTTTTCCTTTTTTTTTTGTTGAGACAGGGTCTGGCTCTGTCACCCAGGCTGGTGTATGGTGGCGCTGTCATGGCTCACTGCAACCTCTGCCTCCTAGGCTCAAGCAATCCTTCCACTTTGGCGTCCTGAGTAGTTGGGAATACAAGTGTGTGCCACTGTGCCTGGCTAGTTTTTGTATTTTTTTTAGAGACAGGGTTTTGCCATGTTGTCCAGGCTGGCCTTGAACTCCTGGGCTCAAGCAGTCTGTGTACCTTGGCCTCCTGAAGTGTTGGAATTATAGGCGCGAGCCACTGTGCCTAACCTGTAGAATATCTTTTTGTCCTAATTACTGTGGTGAATGCTGTAGGAAGGCTGTATGTAGCCACAGGAAAATAATTCTGCCACTTCTTGGGACAGCCTTGTCCCCTAACATGGTTGGTTTTTTCATCTATCCTGTATGCATCATGCTCAGTACCCAGTTACGATCCTGTACACATCCAGCCTGGGCTAATTTTAACATACAAAATACAAGTGTGGGTGTGGTTTATGCCCTTGTTGAGTTGAGGCTCCTGTTGTCAGGCACAGCTGAGAGGGTATTGGTGTCACACTGTAGTCTTGGGTTTATTTCTGTTGTCCAGTCTTTTACATTCCATTGCAAGCCTTTTTCCTTTGAAGAGGTTTTTTTGTTTTTTTAGCAAAGTGTTCACATACATTTAATCTCTTTCTCCTCTGATTACATCTTTTCTCCATTCCCTCTTTGTCTTCATTATTCCAACATCTTATCTTCTTCTCCTTTCTGTAATTTTCCTACCACTTCTTTTATTGTTTTCTTTCCTGTTATTCTCTCCCTCTCTTTAGTTTCTGGTTACCATCAGCTGGGAAAAGAGAACGAAATCAGGTAAGATCTTTTTCTTTGTCATCTTTATTTTATCATTTGGTTTCCTTTTCTTTAGAAAGAATAAAGCGTTGGCTTCTGATTTTCCTCACATTTCTGCTTGTACACATGAGGTAAGGTTTCCTCTTTCTTGTTATTTTGATTTTCTTGGAGAGTGGTTTTCTAAGAGTATCCAATACTTACTGGTAAACACTGCAGCTAATTCCCTTTTTTAGGTTCAACTGTGATCATTAGTTTCTTGTAGCATATATTTCATAGGAATCCTGTTTTTATTTTAGTTTTGAACTTTGCAGTATGAATGCAGAATGAATCTCATTTGCGTATGATTTAGTTCAACATCAGACTCCTGCGTTGAGAAGTACTATGTTGAAGCCTAAACACATGAAGCAGAAAGTAGAGCTGCTTTGGGTGAAGTGGGGTCAAAGCCTTAGAGCAGTGGTCCCCAACCTTGATGGCACTAGGGACCAGTTTTGTGGAAGGTAGTTTTTCCATGCACCCAGGTCGGGGGCATGGTGAGGGAGGGGGGTGGTTTTGGGATGATTCAAATGCATTACATTTATTGTGCCCTTTATTTCTATTATTATTACATTGTAATATGTGATGAAATAATTATACAACTCGCCGTAATGTAGAATCAGTGGGAGCCCTGGGCTTGTTTTCCTGCAACTAGACAGTCCATCTGGGGGTGATGGGAAACAGTGACAGGTCACCAGGCATTAGTCTCTCATAAGGAGCATGCAACCCAGATCCCTCATATGTACAGTTCACAGTAGGGTTTGTGCCTCTGTAAGAATCTCAGTGGCTGCTGATCTGACATGAGGCAGAGCTCAGACAGTAATGCCAACAATGGTGAGTGGCTGCTTGCTGGCAGCTTACCTCCTGCTGTGCGGCCCTGGGGTTGGGGACCCCTGCCTTAGAGCCTTTCTGTCTTAGTCTTTTCCCTAGCTACCCCCGTGAGGGGGCCTTTGGCATATTTAGGCCTATGTAGAGGGCTCACAATTTAAAAATTAACTTCCAGTGGTTATCGATATATTTCTTTATGTGTAAAGTTTAGTGATTTTTTTTGGAAGATTGCTTTATCTTGGTGATTAGATGTAAAATAGATGAACACTGACAGGTAAAATGTTTTAGGCTTCCTATCTGTTGCTGTTGGAGTTTTCTTTTGGAAAGAGAAACTCGCTTTCTTGCCCAGGTTGGAGTGTAGTGGTGTGACCTCGGCTCACTGCAGCCTCCACCTCGGAGGTTCAAGCAGTTCTCCTGCCTCAGCCTCCCAAGTAGCTGGGACTACAGGCTCGCCCTGCTAATTTTTTGTATTTTAGTAGAGAAGGGGTTTCACCATGATGCCCAGGCTGGTCTCGAACTCCTGAGCTCAGGCAATCTGCCCGCCTCAGCCTCCCAAAGTGCTAGGATTACAGGCGTGAGCCACATGCCCAGCTGTTTTTTTTTTTTTTTTTAAATGACTTAGTAGCTTATTGAATTGATACACATTTTAGACTTGGAATCTTCATTATGAATTTCCTGTTTTGAAATGAACTAGAGTGGTAGAAGATATAACTGGTGTATGTGTATGAGATGATTTTAGATGACATATGGACACACAGTTTTTAAGTTATGTATTATGGTGTACATTAGGAAAACATGTAATTGTATCAAACTTGTTATTTCATGGAAATATAGTAAGGACAAGGCTGTGCAAAAATAATTGATATGAGGAAAAATAATAAGCAGTAGTACAGGTTGTAGGCAGGTAAGGAAAGTCATGAAGATGGTATGTGAGAGATTGCAGTTTGGGGGATGTTAAGCTAGAGCACCAATCATGTCTGCATTAGAGGATCTAAAGGCAGAAGGGGACCTGTGGCAGTCATCTGGTCCAGATGTGCTATTTGCGGATGACGAATTGGAGATCTATAAGATTCAAACTATTTGCCCAAAGTCATACAGCTAGTAGAACCAAGATTGGAACCTCTGTGGCAGATAGGACAGTTGCTTAGTTTGTATTCTCATAAAATAAGTTTGAAGTCATCATTCCGGATTCTTCCAGTCTTTGTATGTCAGAAGGCATTAAATTCTAAACTTTTTGGAGAAGACTATTTGTTGTGGAAAAAGTCCAAAGAAAATAGCAAACATAAAGTGAGGTGTGTCATTTGATCCTCACAGCCTCCTTTTGAAGTCAAATAGATGTTTTGCAAATAAGAAACTGAAATTATAATCTGAAAGCAGTGTTTCACTTAGCCCTCATAATAACCCTGTGAAATAGGTAAGACAGGCTGGGAGTGGTGGCTCACGCCTGTAATCCCAGCACTTTGGGAGGCGGAGGTGGGTGGATCACCTGAGGTCAGGGGTTTGAGAGGAGGCTGGCCAACATGGAGAAACCCCGTCTCTACTAAAAAAAAACAAAAACAAAAAAAATTAGCTGGCCGTGGTGATGGGCGCCGGTAATCTCAGCTACTTGGGAGGCTGAGGCAGGAGAATTGCTTAAACCTGGGAGGCGGAAGTTGTAGTGAGCCAAGATCGCGCCACTGTGCTCCGGCCTGGGCGATGGAGTGCTACTCTGTCTCTAAAAATATATATAGGTAAGACAGATAGTGTTATATTCATTTAACAGATGCAGATAGTAAAGCTCAGAGATTATATAATTTTTAACACTCAGTATCTCAGTGGTAGATTGGAACTAAAAGGTGTTCTAATTCTTAGTCTAGTTCTTTTTCCACTATAATATGCTGCTGTTGTTTCAACCAGTTATTCTTGGAATCATTTGCCAGGATAAGGAAATGAAAAGGTAATTTCATGGTAATCTTCTTGGAAGCAAGGGCTGATACACAGTTAATAATCATCAGGCACAAGTTCTTGTTATATCACTTGGAAAATACGGTCTTCTGCCATTTAAGTGACTATTGTATATCAGAAGTTTTTGTAAAATTGTTGTTTAACAAGGAATAGTTTTCTGTTTTTTTTGAAGTGTGCTAGATCAGGTTTGGTACATTCACAGGCACCCTATTAAATATGTGTGACTTTACTGAACAGTGTCTGCATTTGATATGACAAAAGAGTTGGTCAAAGCAGAAAAGTAATCAAAGTGTAGGTTACCCTTTAGGATCAGGTCTGTTTCATGTAAGCCTTACTAAAATAGTCTTCTTTATTCCTGCAGTTCAATCCTCTGTCTCCCCTTTACTCCCTGGATGTTCTTGCCGATGCTTCTCACCGAAGGTGTTCACCAGCACACTGCTCTGCCAGGTAACTGTCTTTTAGTAGCTGTTATTTCTTCTGGACAATACTATATTCCTTTCTATAACACCTCAAATTATAAAGTCTGTTTGTGTACGGTATCCAGTTTGATCCTGACAACAATCCTTTGAGGTAAATAGATGTTTTATAGATGTAGAAACTGAGGCAGAGCAGTGAAGTATCTTTCCTGTGATCACAAGGCTAGTATGGGATTAAGTCTCATACTTAACTTTGACCTAAGTCTTCTAGTTCATATTTCATTTTATTTCTGCTGCTAAAAGCCCCATCTTCAAAGAACATTATTAATGTTCCTTGGCATGACCTGCAAAACCCTGCATAATCTGACTTCTCCCTACGTGTACAGCCTCCTTCCGTATAATTTTCTCCCTCTGCGGGGGAAAGATCCAGTGGTACCAGGGAGCTCTGTTTTGTTCTTCAAAAACAGCAGCAGTCCTTTGCTGCCTCTGAACCTTTCCACTTCTTTCCTTTGCCTGGAAAACTGTCTTTGAGCTGCTGCTTGTGTCAGCTAAGTTGCCACCTCCTCAAGGAGGACCACTCAGACCGTCTTGTCTAAGGGGCCACCTCCAGCACTTCCTGCTCATTATTTGCTTGTTTCCTTTATGGCTCTATCACAGTCTGTAATGAATTTGCTTATTAGTTTATTTTAGTGGGGTTTGGTTTTTCTTTTGCTCTTTTGTTTCCACTTTATCCCCCAGTCTCTCTCCCACTAGAATATAAGCTTTAAAGGACTGGGATGTTGTCCTGTTCCCTGATAACTCCTTGACACCTAAAACGGTATTTGAGACTTGTTAGGCTTATTTAATATATATTAGTCAAATGAATGAATCCTTACAAATATAAATTATTTTAGGTGACATGGGAAGTAAATACAGTTTTAATAGTAGCATCCCCTGCAGGGCTGTTATGCAGAAAAGAATAGCTAATAGGCTAAACCCCAGAAGTTTTATTATTTCTGGTTGCACAAAGAATTTCTTTCCAAGGTTCTGATAATTCTTTTTTATTCCTAATAAGTTCTTAAATGGTTATGTTCATAGATGTTGAGGGGTAGGCTGCACTAAGTTACTCTTCCATGGATACAGTTAAAATTTCTACTATGGGCTACAATAATAAATTTTGCACCATAATCTACTGCCAGATCTTTCTACTGAAGAAGTAGTATTTCTGTATGAATGTCTTTTGAAAAGAGAGACCATCACAAATGGTGTTATTAAGAATGCCTGGACTATACCATAGTGAGACCTTGTTTCTACAAAAAAATTAAAAAAAAAATCAGTTGTGTCTGGTGATTCACACCTGTAGTCTCAGCTACTTGGGAGGCTGAGGTGGGAGGATTGCTTGAGCTCAGGAAGTCAAGGCTGCGGTGAGCTGTGATGATGCCACTGCACTCCAGCCTGGGTGGCAGAGTGAGATCCTTTCTCTTAAAAAAAAAAAAAGTATGGAAAATTGGAGAATGATATAAACTTCTAGTAGTAAGGCCTTTCCTTCAGTAGCATGATGTTTATTCATCATTAATTCATTCAACGTTTGCTGGCACCCTACTGTGAGCCAGCCTCTTTGTTTAGATACTGCCCTCAAGGAGCTTACATTCTCGTGGGGAAGTCAGGTATGGAAGTTGACAATTACAATAAAGGTTTGAAAAAGCACAGAGGAAGGGACCCTAACTTTGAGGCTTAGGGAGATTTTTTTAGAGGTGGTTGTGCTCAGGCTGTCATGGAGGACAACAAGATTTTAATTCATAGGAAAATAGTCCTTCAGCTTTTTGTTTGTGTATATACTACTTGGGAAAATTATTTGAGTAGCATCATATCATGTCAGAATGCTGAAAGTGGATTACTTTCCCTCCTCTCTTTACCCCTGCTACCTAAAGCTGTGCTGTGCTGAGATCAGTATTCATACTTTTTGTCAGGTTTCTTTCTTCCTTTAAAAGCCTTATCCTGTGGCTGGACTAGGCATCAGCTTCTTGTTTCTTTGTGTATCTCCTTATCCGTATCACTGTCTTCACTCTCTTGCCTGGCAGGTTTGTGGCTAAACTTGGAAACATATGGAGGTCTCAACTGTGCTTCTGGTATACCCAGTTCTAGGGTAATATTTCTTATTGCATTAGACCATTACTAAAAGCAAAGGAGAGAGAATGTGGACAATAATACATTATCTTTGATGTATTACTTACTTCTAGACGTCATACCCAAGGCAGTAGATACCAAGTGGGTTGCATACATGAAGGTTCTTTGGGAAAGGGGAAGAAAATTTTAAAACTTATGTTTATTTATAGCTGATCCTTCAAAAATTTTTTTGTTTTAAATTATACATATGTGTCTACTAGCACATATTTATATTTTATGTATATGTACCACATATATAATGTTTTTTTCAGATTTTTTACTCATGAGGGTGCACGTCAATAAAGCTTGGCAACCACTGCTTCATGGGAAATGATCAGCAAAAGTGACTTCTATGCAGCTTTTAGAAAATATGAATGATGACATACTGAGCTCTCAGGGCAACCGGTCACTCCTTTGGAATAGTGGTCTTCCTGCCCAGGGAGGGGTTAGTGAAGAAGGAACTGTCTTGCTCCAGTGTGACAGCCTGATGAGACTGGATTCAGAACTAGGCAGTAGGCTTTGCAGAGAACAGATCATTTAGCAAAAGCCGGGCACCAAGGTGGAGTGTAAAGGAGTAGTGGTGGCAGGGAAGAGGCACGTGAATGACTGTACTAAAAACTGTTTTGAATGGAAATTATATCTTTTTCTTGTCCCATTTTATTTGTAGTAGGGAAAAATTTCTTTCAAAGCATCTGGGCAGCATTGGAAATTTCACACGCATCATTAACATGCTGTGTGTGTGTGTGTGTGTGTGTGTGTGTGTGTGTGTATGTGTATATGTGTGGCGACTATGTTATCATTAGTGGTATAATTTTATTTTGCAAAGAGAGAAGTGTTTCCTGTTTTATCACAGCTTTCCCTGAGGAGGGCTGGTGTACTAATTTGCTGTATTGCCTCCTGGCTGTTCCCAGGCTGTTTTTCCTCTTCATCATGGAATTTTTAATGGCCCTACTGCCTCTTGGGAAGCATGTGAGGAAGAGTTCCTCAGGGAGTGCTTCCCTTTTTTCACATGCCTATAATTACTCTCCTTTAAGAGCACAAAGAGTTTGATAATCATGCCTGAACTATGAAGGTTCCCTCCTGTCAGGTTACTGAGCTGAGGCTGTTTTTTGCCTGGACACTGCCAATTCCATTCTCCCAAGCAAAAGCGAGGGCTTTTCAACAGTTTCCTCCCTGCTAGAACCATATACACCTCTAGTTTTCGGAATTGGTGAGGTGGGGTGGGGGAGGCATTGTGAGAGTGGTGCATGACCTCAGGATCCTTTCTTGTTTAGTATTTCATTGCTATAAACAAATAAATAATTGGACCATAATCTTAAAATAACATCTTATTGATGTATCGTTTTAATACAGCCCAGATGGCAGGTGCAGTGGATGGGAGGGAGAGTTTTGTGGTCTTTGTACCACCTAATAGATTTTGTGGATTTCAGGAATAGTGCTCTGGAAGTAGTTAACTTGGTGCTTTTCAACCT